CTTTGCTCATATGGGAGCATCTTAAAACAATCTGTCGAAGACACCGATATCTCCGTTTAAGGTGCCCCTGTTTGACAGCCCACATATGCAGACTCAAATATCTTCAAGGGGCTCGTCGATGCTGCCCATGGTGACATGGACAACCGTGGAGCCTCGGCAAATTCTTCGCGAACCCATTTGGCTCGAAATGAGCCATTCTCAAAGTTGTGGGAAGTTCTCTGAATACCACTGAGAATTCAGCATCTAATGCTTTGGCCTAAGTTTGGAAAATACCACAAGCTACCTACATACAACACACGCAGACAGAAAGATGAAACACACCTTTCTCTCCAACCTTTGAGAATTTTGGGGGTGAGGCACGAGTGGGTTGAGGGTTTGGGGCTAACGTCACCATGGAAAACCCAGAAAGCTCAGCTTCTTCTGTTGCCTGCAAGCTCAGTGCATCCTGACATTTCGAATTTTGAGAAGGGATCCTTTTTGCGAGGCGCTAGTGTACTTCTATATAAGGCGGACCCGAATTGAAAAACGTGGCTTGACGTAGCCTAGATCCTCAACCTGAAGCCGAAATCCTAAACCTTGAATCCCAAATCAAAACCCTTAATCCCTCAACATCAGAAGCCCTCAACCCCCTGCGAGGGCGCAAACCCTAAACTATTGGATTTTAGCATGGCCAAACAGTGAATACCACATCCGGAGAGACAAAAGGGCCGGGCCTCAAAAGCCTCTTTACAACCCCTTCAATAAATCCCCATACAATCCCAGTTTCCGTTTAAGGTCTATTTCCATGTCCTGTTGATCTTCCCACTGTTCGACCCAAGACCCAGGCACCACACGCTAAACCCACGGGCTACCGTTCGGGGACTCTAAAACTCTCCACTCTACACCTTTGGCAAAGGCACCGAAGTACTAGGCCAGGAAAAGGCATTCAACAATTTGTTCTTTCCATTTCTTCCTTTGCTACTAGTTCATCTTTATATACATCTAAATACTCAACAACATTCCACATGAATTCCAGACTCTATGTCATTTTCCATGTTTATTTTCTTTCGTTTCGCCATTATCGGGGTACTATCCTTAAACCCTAAACCCATATCCCTAAACCCTGAACCCACCATATCCAACTGTCTGACCCAGAACCGAGGCACTGAGGTGGTAGGCCAGAAATCCCACATTGCCAAAGCCTCGTGCATTCAGCGCGGAGCCACAAAGATGGAAGGCGCCCTCGCCTAGGGCTCGGGGGATTTAGGATCTGGGGTTTACGTTTAGCATTTCATCGGTTTACTTGTAGGGTTACGGGGGCTTAGTAAGAATACGTGCCACGCGGACAAGCCAAATAAGCTCCAGCTATACCCAGTATTGAGCTACTAAACCCCAAACCCTAAAACCCCTAAACACCCTCGAGTAATATTGGGAGTTTCGGGGGCTTTGGGATTTCGAGGCTTCCAAACAAATTAGGGGGCGTGGCATGGAGCTCCCAACTATGAAGACTGTAGCTTTTTGGAATGCACAAGAGTCACGGCTGTTCTCGGAAATGCGAAGATGAGCTTCGGGATTTAAGGCTTGAGGTTTGCAAGCTTGGGATTCGCGGGCTGAACGTTCAGGACCTTCAAGTTTGGGAATTAAAGTTAGATGTATAAACGTCTCAGCAATGTGCCTTGCTCAGTAAAGTGGAAGTATGCTGAGACCATGCTGGTTCCTGAAACCGAGATCCGCCCAAAGAGAGTGGCCCAACGTATGGGCTCCCTGGAACCTAAACCTTGGGTCAATCCCCCACCACGTGATGGGTACCACGAGGGACCATTGTAGGTATATTAAGGCCTGATTTAATCCATGATAAGGAGCTATTACTATAGGGGGGATTGACCTAACCTAAACCCCGAAGCCTACCCCTAAACCCTATCTTAATGCAGTACCCCGCTAGCTTTTGGAATCTCACTCAATCCTGAAGGCTCTTCCTCCGGCCCTTAAACGAACAATCTGAAAATCGTCTTCCACTAAGTTTCTTTAGTGTTTGGGGGGCTAGTGGTTTAGGATTTGCGGCTTAGGGTTCAGGGTCCAGGGCACCCCAGTTTCTTGAAACCCCAAGCCTGGGAAGTACTTTTTCTACCGATCCACGGTGGTACGAAAGTTTTGCATGAACAGCATCTACGCGCCTGCTACTGCCGTGTAAGATTAACATCGGATAAGGAGGGTTGTCCAAATTCTGGCCTTTTAGGGAAGGGCATCCCGCATAGTATGGGTCGTATGACAACAGGGATCCATAAACCAACCATAATTTTGACAGCCTACAATATGAAGGCCCCATAAGATACCAGTTTCCATTTTGGTTTCCATATTCTTTTCCATTGGATTCTCCATTATTGGGGTGATATCCCCAAAACCTAAAAAACCGTATCGGGAGTATAAGCCCTGTCAAAACACCTGTTTTGTAATCTTTCACCCCTTGCTTCAATCACGATGGCGGATGGAGGAAATCTTGCATCACCCTATATACCCTCCACCAATGATTACAATATCTTGGGGAACGTTATTGCAGCAAGATTTCCTTTATCCACCGTAGCCTGCCGCGAGTAGCTAAAACTTAGGGCTCATGCTTGCCGGAAGACCTAATTTTAGATGCTTTGGGAACCTGGGTCCTTAATCAGATAGTGCGTAAGCCGTGGCGCAGTCTGCCAGGACCAAAGCACCGCCGCCAGGCAAGCGACGCGCAGCAACCTGTATTTGGAACATCCTAATTGAGCTTAGGGTTTTAGGATAGATACGGGAAGGGCAATCTACTACATGTGGTTTGATGGTTGAGGACTTCTCTAAAACCCCCCAAACCAGAATGAATATTGCCAGTATGGTGTACTACAACAGTAGATTGGGAAAGGGATTGGCATGTGTTAAGTTGCCAGGAATTTTGCTAGGCTTTGAACGGATCACAGGTTGAGTTGAGAGGCTTTCAGCTTCGGCTGTCGCGTTTTCATTTAACAATTCTGGTTGTTTTGCTACCCAAAACCGACTAGGTTGGGACTAGGTTGAAAGCTTATTGTCTAACAGCATCTCGACATCTGCTTCCTGTTGATCCCGTTGAAACAGGCAACATCCACGCCGACGGTAACTGGATCGAAGGCGCTTCCTGTTTCGAAGCAGCTCCTGCACAAGGTGCTGGGTCTATGGGCTTATGATCTAAGAGTCTTCGGAGTCTGGGGGTTCATGGCTTGAGGATCTGCAGGGTTTAGGGCTGTATGTTTTAAGAGCCTTGTAGGTTTAGGGGCCGTGGGATTGAAGGTTGAGGACTTGAGGTTTAGGGCCTGGTTTGGAGGTTATGGGGTCGACGGCAGATCCAGAAGTGGATCGGAAAGACCTAGCCATAACAGAGGAGTTAACCCTAGCTAAACCACCGTAAAACCCTTAAACGTTCAACGAACGACCCCTTGAACCCTACACCCTTATACCCCTAAACCCTATGAAAAATTTTAACTGTGCGCCATGCCTTGAACCTGAGGCCGCCAATACCATATCAAATTTTGAGGGCTTCGGGCTGCGGATACAGGGATGTATAGGGATGTGAAGGCTTCTGATGGCTTCTGTAGGATCATACCGAAAGAAGAAGCCTCCAAAGTAGCAGTATTGTAACAAGACGGAAGCAGGAAATTAAAAGAGATTGACAGTGAAATGGCAACTGGGTTATGCACGTGTGTCATGGGGATAATTGCCGATATCAGGGTCCTAGATATCTTGTAAAATTTCAATACAGTATACCTTGTAAAGTTACAATACAAGATACCTCAAATAGACTTTCGAATGATACTGACAAGTACTCAGGCCCCTGTATCAGGAGCTGTTGACCTTGTGAGGGTTGGCTTCATTCCGCTCTTTTGTGCACGGTCTGCCGTTACCATGAGAGCGGAAGGATTCCAAGCAATTGCGTAGAACAAATGGAGTCCTCTCGCTGGCATCTTGCCCAAGGAGGAGGGCATTGCCTGCTGTTGTGATGTGGGAATTACAGTGGGAAGTCGGAACCTCACCTTATCAGTATATACAAAAAGCCAAACATGCTCTGGACCTGACCTGGTTCATGACACCGACAGACCGACAGCTTGCAATGCTGGATTCTCGAAGGTTTCCCAAGGGGGAGCTACAATGACAGGGCGCTTGCTCGAAGCCCCTGACATAACCGCCAGTACGAGAATCTTTGTTGTCACGAATGGAAATAAAGACCTGAAGAAACTTCCAAACTGCACATACTCGGTCCAGAGGTCTCTGAGTCCCACCTTGGGATTCTGGAAATTACATGCCGAGACCCCCAGAATGATTCACCATCACAACCCATCACAGTTGAACACGAAAACCCTGAATGTCATTTAGGGCTTAGGGAATGCCCCAACCTATCAATGCAGGCACGTTAATCATGCGGAATCATGGAACAACAGAGAGCCTCAACCCTACAAAGGACTGGACAGAGAACCGCCAAGAGCTGCGAGTTGAGGGCTTATGTCTGCTTGCTTGATCCTAAACCCTAAACGTTTTAGCCCCTTTCCGCAACCTGAGTGTTTAGGGCCTTCTGAGGACAACCAACTTGAGACGACTATAGGGATCCATTCCACAAAAGGGATCCATGATCTGAATCCATATCCTCATTCCCAAAACCCTATCCACGTCTTATTTTTTGCATCTTCGGCGGCCATGAACCTCCCCGAATCGGTGTCGGCCACTTTGCCAGAGGCGTCGGACAAGGCAGATATCCTCCCTGGCCTTGTAGAAGGATCTCAGCTCGATCGCAACGGTCGCGGTGGCTGGCCGATCCAGACAGAGCCAAAATGATGCGACCCCAGGACCGGCGCCTCAAAGCTCTTGCACACAAATGAAGACAAGCGCGCGGCCTCCGACCGTACTTTCTCACTTTTATGGAGGAACTCCGCTGAAACCAGGACTTTCAGTTTGTGGACGATGATGTCGCCTTTCGCGCCCTACGTTGTAAAAAGTACGTCAGCAAGTTCAGCGACTCCAACCAGGACGAATGGCTGAACGACGCCGCGGAGGACGACAACATCTCTGCCTGGTCTCCAATCCGCAGAACTACACGGACGGCCAGCTTTTTGAGGATGTCCAGAGATTGAAGCCTCTGCGATTGCCCATCTTCCACGGCATGCGAGTGGTGTTCACTCGCAATGTCCGGAAGGATATCGACTATGTCAATGGCATGGAGGGCTCCGTGCTTTCCTTCGACGCCTGCTCCCAGGCCGTTGAGGTCCTCACTGAGACGAAATTCCGGGTGAACCTGCGGCCGCGGTCGGACATGGACCTTGGAGGGTTCACCTGCTACCCTCTGAAAGGCGGCTACTCGGACACTGTCATCAAGCTTCAGGGAGCGGAGCTCCAGCAAGTCATGGACTTGTGAGCATGAGGAAGCGGTAGCATGCAGTGGGATCGTATACTGACGGCTTCCGTTGCCGTGTGGACTTGAACGACCATGCGCGCCTCAAGCAGTGTTTTGGCCCAAGGATCGTTTTTTGGGCCTGGCTTGGTTCTGCCCTGCTGCCAGTCGCGAAGGTCCATCCAAAACAAGAGTGATAGAACAAGAGCGTGGTCAGAGTTCAAGAGAACTCTAAGCCCGTAAAAGGTTGAGGCGAGCGCCAGCGGGGGGTGGGCTCCGGCAAGTCGGGGTGCGGCGTGGGTCCTTCCAGCACCAGCACACCCCCTCACTGACACACCCCTAAACCCTAAACCCCGAAACCCCTAAACCCTAAACTCCGAAACTCCTAAATCCTAACCCTAAACCCCTTAACCCCAAACACCTCTATTTTTGGAAACTGCCCAGGTGCATGCGGTGCTCTTCCCACAGCGCGAGCCGCCAATAGCGAAGGCGACGTGCAGCGGCGAGCCCACCTTGCACCAATGGTATATAGGGGATATATATGGGATATATAGGGCATATACAAGGCATATCTAGGGGATATATAGGGGCTGTAGGGTTTTGGGAATTAGGGTCTGGGGTTTAGGCTGTAGGGTTTGGGCTTTAGGGTTTGGGGTTCAGGCTTTCGGGTTTACGGTTTTTGGTTTAAGCCTTTAGGGTTAGGGTTTAGGCTTTCGGGTCTAGGGTTTATGATCCAAGTCTTCCTGGGTGGGGGGCAATATCCAAAGCCTAAACCAAGGTCGACACCTGGTGCAACCCCAAGTAGGACCGACCCCGTAAGAAAGACCTTTAGAAGGGAATTATAAGGGGTTTGTGGGGTTTTCGAATTTGCTTGGAACTCATTTTCTCTCAGTTCTACATATATATATATAGATATGTATATGTATATACATATCTGTGATTTGGGGTTTTGGTGTTTTGGGGGTTTGGGCTTTTTGGGGCTGTGGGGCCAGGGTTTCTTAGAGGGCCCGACCCATCTGCGGGCCCTAAACCTTGTAATTACCCCAAATCCTAAACCTTAAATCTTGAACTCCAATCCCTGAAACACACTAGACCCAAAATCCTAGACTCTATCCCCTAAACCCTAAACCATATCCAAGCCAGCACTTGATAAATGAACTGCTTCCAAAATGCCCGTCGCAGCACAGTCAGACCTTCCTCCTGGAGCTCCAGGCCTGGGTCCAAACAAGCTAAGGGTGTTTTGGTTGGTCCTGCCCCCACGCGTTAACAGTTTATAATAGGGGTCATATTTAAGGTTCTATATATACATATCTAGATTTTCATGTTATGCCAATAGGCTTTAAGGTCTTGGGATTAGGGTTTGGCGTTTTGGGGTTAGGGTATAGGGTTTAGGGGTTAGGGGTTACGAGTTGGGGTTCAAGAATGAGGGTCAGGTTTAGGGATCACTGTTAGGGCTTAGGGGTTGTTCGGTTGTCAAAAAGGCCCTTTTGAAGGAATTCATAGGCAGTTTACGTATGTCATATAGGAATATTATGAAACTTTTTACCGTTTGGGGTTTGGGCTTTATGTTTAGGGGATAAGGCTTAAAGGCTTCGGGCTTAGGGTTGAGGAGTCATGGGGCTACTACCTGGGCTTTTGTGGGTTCGGCCCGCTATGCTTTTCCTGGGGGGGTTGGGCAGAGTTTACGAATCAAGCTTTGGGCTAAAGGCACCAGAGTGCAGGATCTTGGGATTTGGTGAGCAGCCAAAGAAAGCTGGATGGAGGACATGCGGACTTATGAACACGGAGGGGCCTTGGGATCCTGAAGGATGTCCCGAGCTTAGACTGGAATTATGTGGCATTTCACCCTGAACGTAGTGGTGCTTAGTAGGGAATAAGGGAATACAGTATAATCCCTTTACAACCCCTAGATAATATACTCCCTTATTCCCTACTAACTCCCAGAAAGTTAGCCTCAACACCTTATGGCCTCCCTCCATTGAGCTAATTGGGAGAAACTCCAAATCTTGCAATTACAGCCCCCAACCCCGGCTAGTTAAGCCTGGAAGTGGCTCTAGCCCCACGTTGCTGAGGCCCTAACAGCCATTCTCATCATGGCGCAGGAGGGGGGCAGGGCCAATGATTGCCATGGCTTCAAGGTTTGCTAACTCTGTTCTTGGGTTTTGTTTCTTGTGCTTGTGGTGGAGGGTTCTCGGTTTCCTGGCAGCATGACAACTGGTAGAAGCCAGTTAGTGGCTATAGGTGTAGGACTTGGGATGTGGTTAGGGGTGCGGGGCTGAGAGCTTGAGATTTCACTGTTAAGATTTGCGGCCCATCTAATGTCATCCCACGGGTGTGGGAGGTATGGGAAACAAGTATTGCATAGATGGCTGGTAGTGCTGAGTTTCATCGAGAGTGCGCGCACAAACTGCAAGCGTGCTCTGGAACAATCATGCGCAGAAGGAATTCTGCCAAAGCTGACAAGGTTCTTGTCTTGTTGGATCTGCTATCTCTCTCAGCGGTCTCATGCTCGAGTGTTAAAGCTAAATGAAGCAAGCCTCTTGGGCTGACAGCCGCGGAAGACGGGGCATTCCCGAAACTATCTAGGTGACCCTGTTTGGGGTCCCTACAGAGGGTCATAGTCACAAGAATGTCTTGGGCATGAGGGGACCCCTAGCTTCGGAAACTGCCATACCTTTTTTGCCATGCACGAGTTATATCGTGCATAGCTCTCCATGTCCTGATAAGAAGTAATCTCTAACAGGCCTCTGGGTCAAGGGCCTCCTTTTGGATGTGTATCACTCGGTCTGCATGCGACTAGGAAGCACTTAACAAAGGGCGATTATTCTTTCAGTTTCTTACCTATCTACTGCCCAGATAACAATCCAGGATCGGAGCAGAGTCTGCGCATTTCGACCGCACAAGAGACAGGGTCAAGCCCGAAACGCTCCTCATGAAGTATGGCAAGTGGTAAAACATGTATACAACCCACATGCAACACCTAAACCGTAAACCCTAAAGCATAAGTACTGGCTGGCGCTGTTGTCGAAAATGGAGTCCAAGCAGTTTGAACAAGGGCCGGGATGCCATAGGGCCGCACTCGCGGAGCAGGACAGAACAAAGCTTATCTACAGCCACTTTATACCGTGCAGAGGGTTCCATATAGTTTTTCTACGAGGGACCATGGGTGGACTTGCGCAAAACCTGAAACCCTGTGGTTCCGAGATCCTGTAACCTAAAGCCTTCGAAGCCTTAGCTCTGAACCCTACGCGGTTTAAGGCTTAGGGTCTAGAGGCTACACCCTTAACATCTTGAATTTCTTGGCTAAAGAGGCCGATCGCTGAGGAGCGTGCCGTTTGGCTAGCGTTTGGCCTTGGACATCAGCGGCATTGCAACATTCCAGGAAGGCTCTGAACTTCTGAAAATAAAGTGCCTTTTGGGACCCTAGGGGATACATGAGGATTCTGAAGGCGTTGTGGACCCTTAGCAGGCGTGGGGAGTATATGGGTGCGATGTAGTGAGACTACCACTTATCGGCTTGCACGTTACGTGAGGTCACCAGGTCAAATGTTGCAGTTTCTCAAAGCACTCCGTACAAAATCTTAAGGGGAGCCCTTGAATCTCTTAGAATCTCTCTCCATGCCTAGGGCCGCGTAGGGGCCCCTGGCCAAATCCGCTTGTCTCTGCGCCGCCCCTAAAAATTCCGTCTAGTGGGCCCTTACTTGGAGAGCCGAGGTGACCCAGTAAGTTGGCAAATGATGAGGAGAACCAGTGTCAACATATATATACATATATGCATATGTATATATATATATGGCTCTTAAGGGCTCTGAACATACTTACCAAGTTTCCCTGAACCTCCAAGAGATGAGAGCTATACAGCTGATGTTTGACCTAGCTCTGGGATACTTCCCACGTGTACATTTTGTGCTCCTTCTTGGGTTGTAGCATAACCAAGTCTAAACATCGCGTTTGAACAACTTATCTCCTTCCCTTCGTAACCCCAAAGCTCATAAGAAATGGTCCCCGTAGTATATAGTGGTACTCTGCTGGCGTGGCCCATCAAAAGGGGTGCTGCTATTGGGGAGAGGATTACAAACCCTAATAAGCCCTTAACCCTAAACCCTGAGCCCTAGACCTTAATATTTTCTGGTGCCAGATGGTTTAGCTTGTTCCTTGATTACTGCCTCCACCCAGTCTCGGTCTCTAGTGACTGCAATAATTAGCGGCTTCTTATTCTTGATCGTATTACTATCCAACCATAACCGGATGAAAACTGCATCCAAGTTCTCCCACAAAGTTGTCAAATTTGTGGTCCAGTTTGGGGTCTTTGGTGCAATTTGTATAATTCTACCCCAAAAAGAGGCTGGGGTTACCAAATAGTCATGACTACTGGCGGGCTGGGTTCGGATTTTCTTGCATTGACTTCTAAAAAACCTAAAGCCTCAATCTGGGTTGCTGTTAAGGAACTTAAATTAAGTTACTATATTGGGGAAACCCTATTATTTACTATATATACCCATTATGGTAACTTAATTGAAGTTCCTTAACAGCAACCCAGTAATCCAAAATCCC